GAGAGGAGAGGAGAGGAGAGGAGAGGAGAGGAGAGGAGAGGAGAGGATACTTTGGAAAGGACCCACAAAAATCAAGTTCCACTCCCTGACTACTTTACGTCTAACTCTCAGCTCTCCTCATAGGACATGCCGTTAGCCTTCTTAGCTTTGGTGCCCTCCTCTGGGCACTTCCAAGTTTCTGAAAGTCCATGTTATGTTGTGGAGCCCAGAAATGCATGCAGAGTTTGAGATGAGGCCACACCAGTGCTAAATAGAGGGGGATAATCACCTCTTTTGACCAGCTGGCCATGCTGTGTTTAATGTACCTCACAGTGCAGTTTGCCTTCTTGGCTGCCAGAGCATGCTGCTGGCGCATGCTGAGATGCTGTCACCAGAGCCCACAAGTCCCTCCCTGCTGAGCTGCCCTCCAGCCACTCCTTTCCCAGTCTGCGCCTGTGTCTGGCATTGCTCTGTATCAGATGCAGCACACAGCATTTGCCTTTACTGAACTTCATGCCAGTGATGATTGGCCAGCACTCCAATGTGTCCAGACCCCCCTGCATGGCCTTTTGTCCTCCAGGAAGTCAGCAGCGCCTCACAGTTCAGTATTGTGAGCAAATCTGCTGAGGAGACTTTCCACTCCAGCTTCCAGAACACTGATATAAAAGTTGAACAGAAATGTCCCTAGAATTGAGGGACCACTGCCAATGAATGGCTGTCAGCCAGAGATAGTCCATTCACTACAACCATTTGAACTCTGCTGTTGATCCTGTACAACTCCCGGTTTAGTATGAACTTGTTTGCCTCAGGGTTGGACAACTAGTTCAGAATGATGTCATGAGGGACAGTACCAAAAGCCTTACCGAAACCCAGAAAAGTTGTCTGCTGCCATGATTCTCCAGCATGGAGCAGTTCCACACATTTTTTCCTCATAATGGACATTGCTGTGTTTGCAGGCATTAATGGGTCAGCCATTGAGAACTTCTCCTGTGTGATTTATGACATTTCCCTCATGAACTGCACTTGGCAGGCAGGCAGGAATGCTCCAGGAGATACTCAATATTTTCTCTACTGGCAGAACTCGAGGTGAGTAGGTCTTCTTGAGTTTTGGGTAGTCCGAATTCTCAACACATCACTATGCCTACATTTAACTAAAACTCCTTGTTATATATCCATTATGTTTCCTATAGAGATGATGACCAGACAGAATGTGAACTTTACATTAAAGATGAAAATGACAGAAACGTGGGATGTAAATTCCAAAATGTGACAATTAAAGATAAAACTACTTATTTCCTGGTAAATGGATCCCACAAAGCCTTCCTGATCCAGTTTTATGATAATTATACAAAACTATACACAATTGGTAAGTAGGCACTTTTATTATTGCTGACTCAAAAGGAAAACAAACAAACAAACAAAAAAGCCAGGAATTTTTCTCTGAAGGAAAAAAAAGAAAGAAAATAAAATAACTGAGTGCAGCTGTTATAGGACTCTATACAGTAGTACAAACTTGATTCCAGTTAGCTGAAAAGATAGCATTCCTGAAATTAACTAAAATGAACAAAGGCAGTGTCTGAAGTAACAGCTTGGGGAACAGTGTAAACGACTCCTCAGAACTGAAGAGGTGAGAAATAATTGTGAAAAATGTTCTGAGGGCAGTTTTCCTGTGGGCTTATTTCTCCACCTCAGCAATTCCACATCTCTATGAGAACCGCAAGGACATTGTGCCTTAAACCAGAGGGAGGATTCAACTGGAAAATTAAGACTGTATTAACTAAATGAGTACCCACAAGTTTAAGTTCTGATAGAGATTTCAGGCAGGATCCAGTTGCCTAAAACCTTGCCTCTAGTGCCATTTGAGACACCTTCAGACATCCAGAAGTTTTGTAGATGTAGGTCAGATGTTCAATAGTTGTAGCATCTTAGTCTCTAGTTTTCATACTGTGTTTTACCTACTGTATTTAGCAGATAGATAACATTTCTTTCTACCATCAGCATACAGCTGGACTAGTTGCCTCAGCTTCATGTACATTTTGCTAGGAACACGTGAGTTGTAGCTAATTATTGATCATGAATTTCATTTCATTCCAGAAAGACTCCCTCCTCCACTGAACGTCACTGCCAACTGTACTAGCAATCCAGGAGGTTGCATAATTACATGGCAACAACCCCTTCTAAGTCATGTGGAAAACGCAGACTGTTTTGAGTATGAAATAAACATACAAACTAAGGTAAAAACAATGTACTGGCTTGCATTTGGCACCACATCTACCTAAAGAACATGCAAATTTCTGTTCTCGGTTTATTGACTTCTATCTGATAAGCTGTGGCATGTTCTACTGCTCCAGTCTTGCAGCTTACACTGCTTCTGACTTTTTTTCAAACTAATATATCATAGAATAAGAGAATCACAGATTCATAGAATGCTTTGGGTTGGAACGGACCTCTAAAATGATGTAGTTCCAACCTCCCTTCTGTGGGCTGCTACTCACTAAATCAGGCACTGGGTGAGTGGAGGTACCAGGGATACCCACATGGTGACAGAAGGTAAGACACATTCTGGAGGGGCCATCTGAGGCCAGGCAAAATACTATGCAGCAGCTGTAAGGGGCACTACAAGGCTAAGTGAAGGCAGCTCAGTAACACCCTCCTTGTCTACAGCAGACTGATGATTTCCATCCATGTCCTAGATCGAGAAAGCTCATCTGACAATGAATAATGGGGAAATACTAATCTTGATAATGCATTATACACAACAGGTTTATTTTCTGAAATGAGACATTCCTTCCAATAACATTTTCCTTTTTCATAATGCCAGCTGTCCCACTGACATTACATGTAAATGTTTCCTGGATACCATCTTTTCTGGAATCCTTACCGCAACCACTGCTGGTGATAGTCCAGGTGGAGGCCGGTAACAAGTGGTGTCCCCCAAGGGTCTGTCTTGGGACCGGTGCTCTTTAACATCTTTATTAATGACATCGATGAGGGAATTGAGTGCACCCTCAGCAAGTTTGCTGACGACACCAAGCTGAGTGGTGCGGTTGATACGGTGGAAGGAAGGGATGCCATTCAGAGGGACCTCGACAGGCTGGAAAGCTGGGCTCGGGTGAACCTGATGAGGTTCAACACGGCAAAGTGCAAGGTTTTGCATTTGGGCCGGAAGAACCCCAGGCACCTGTACAGGCTGGGAGGAGTGGTCCTTGAGAGCAGCTCGGCAGAGAAGGACCTGGGGGTCCTGATGGACGAGAGACTGAATATGAGCCAGCAGTGCTCTCTGGCAGCTCGAAAGGCAAATGGGATCCTGGGCTCCATCAGGAGAGGGGTGGTCAGCAGGGACAGGGAGGTGATTGTCCCTCTCTACTCGGCTCTTGTGAGGCCCCATCTGGAGTACTGTGTCCAGGTGTGGAGCCCTCAGTACAGGAAATACATAGAGATTTTGGAAAGGGTCCAGAGGAGGGCGACTAAGATGATCAGGGGGCTGAAGCACCTCCCCTATGAGGACAGGCTGAGGGAGTTGGGCTTGTTCAGCCTGGAGAAGAGAAGGCTGCGGGGTGACCTCATTGCAGCCTATCAGTACCTGAAGGGAACCTACACCCAGGAGGGGAGTAAACTCTTCAAAAGGGCTGACAACAGCAGGACTAGGGGAAATGGTTTTAAGTTGAAGGAGGGAAGATTTAGGTTGGATGTTAGGGGGAAGTTCTTTACTAGGAGAGTGGTTAGGCCCTGGAACGGGCTGCCCAGGGAGGTTGTGGATGCCCCGTCCTTGGACGTGTTCAAGGCCAGGTTGGACGGGGTCCTGGGCAACCTGATCTAAATGTGTATGTTTGGTGGCCCTGCCAGGCAGGGGGGTTGGAACTACGTGATCCTTGAGGTCCCTTCCAACCCGGGTGATTCTGTGATTCTGTGATTCTGTGTGATAGTGCTTGCTAATTTTAACACCTATGCATTTCATATTAAATATTTCAAAATGTTAGGGTTCTTCAGTCCACATTAATACTTTTTTTTTTTTCTTGTTAATTAAATTTTGATTGCATTGAATATGTAAGTAAATATTCACAGTGATTTTGAATATGAATCACTCTGATGTCAAGTTGGGGGCTGGACTCTTCTCCCTGTTGACTAGCGATAGGACAAGAGGGCATAGCATGAAGTTGTGCCAGGGGAGTTCAGTTTGGATATTAGGGAAAATTTATTCTCCAAAAGAGTGGTCAGCTGCTGGAATAGGCTGTCCAGGGAGGTGGTTGTGTCACTGGAGGTGTTCAAGGAATGTTTAGATTAAAAAATCACAGAATCACAGAATGGCTTTGGGTTGGAAGGGACCCCAAGGATCATCAATTTCCAACCCCCCTGCCATAGGCAAGGCCACCATCTTCCATGTCTAGTACTAGACCAGGTTGCTCAGGGCTCCATCCAACCTGGTCATGAACACCTCCGTGGATAGAGCATCCACAACCTCTCTGGGCAGCCTGTTCTAGGACCTCATCACTCTCTCTGTAAAGGACTTCCCCCTGACATCCAATCTAAGCCTTCCCTCCTTAAGCTTAAAACCATTCCCCCTTGTCCTTTCACTATCTACCCTAGTAAAAAAAGGTTGATTCCACTCCTTTATACAAGCTCCTTTTAAATACTGGAAGGCAGCAATGAGGTCTTATCATAGCCTTCTCTTCTCCAGGCTGAACAAGCCCAGATTCCTCAGCCTGTCTTCATAGGGGAGGTGCTCCAGCCCTCTGGACCCTCTCCAACAGCTCCACATCTTTCCTGTAGTAGGAGCCCCAGACCTGGACGCAGTACTCCAGATGGGGCCTCATGAGGGCAGAATAGAGAAGGACAATCATCTCCCTGTTGGCCACTCCTCTTCTGATGGAGCCCCAGATGCCACTGGCCTCCCTAGCTGCAAGAGCACACTGCTGGCTCATGTTCAGTTTTTCATCCACCAGAACCCCCAGGTCCTTCTCTGCAGGACTACTCTCAAGTTCTTCTCCCAGTCCATGTGCATGTCTGGGATTACTCTGACCAAGTGCAAAACCTTGCACTTCACTAAGTTGAACCTCATTAGGTTCACACAGACCCACCTTTCAAGTTTGTTGAGGTCCCTCTGAATGGTATCCCTTCCTTATAACATGTCTATCAAACCACTCAGCTTGGTTCCATTGGCAAACTTGTGGAGGGCGCACTTAAGCTCATTATTGATGTCATTGATGAAGATGTTGAAGAGCACCAGTCCCAAGACAGACCCCTGGGGGACACTACTTGTCACTGGCCTCCACCTGGACATAGTGCCATTCACCGCAACCCTCTGGTTGTGACCATCCATCCAATTCCTTATCCACCGAAAAGTCTACCCCTCAAATCCGTATCTCTCCAATTTATAGATAAGTATGTGGTGTGGGACCATGTCAAAGGCCTTGCATAATTCCATGTAAATGACATCGGTCACCTTCCCTTTGTCCACCAAGGCCATCATTCAATCATAGAAGGCCACCAGATTGGGCAGACATCACTTTCCCTAGGTAAAGCCGTGCTGGCTGTCTTGGATCACCTGCTTATCCCTCATGTGCCTTCTACGTTGTACTAAAGGACATGGTTTAGTGGGGAAATATTGGTGGTAGATGGATGGTTGGACTGGATGATCTCGGAGGTCTTTTCCAACCTTAATATTCTATGTCCATCAGAGTTCAATTGGAAGGAAAATAAATTTGTGGTTCATATCAGTTTTGTGCTCTGTGTTATCAACCTATTGTGAAGTTATAGCCTCCAGAACTGCTTCTTTAGAGGATTTTTTTTTTCTTAGATAGTTCAGATATACACCGGCTGGATGGGAGTGTGCATTGTATAGAAGCAAATACAGCTCACAGCCACTGACATCATTTATTTTCTTCCTTTCCTAAAATCACAGAATCACAGAATGGCCAGGGTTGGAAGGGACTTCAAGGATCATGAATAGCCAGCTCCTTTGCCACATGCAGAGCCACCAACCTCCCCATTTAATACTAGACCAGGCTGCCCAGAGCCCCATCCAATCTGGCCTTGAACACCTCCAGGGATGGGGCACCCACAACCTCTCTGGGCAGCCTGTTCCAGCTCTTCACCAAAATGAAACAGAGGAAGACAAAACTCTGAATAAAGTGCTATATTTTGGGATGTTACTGGGGTTGAATCTCCATTTGAATTTCACTTTGAAATTATAAGCGAAAAACAGGGAAGAATAGAGGGAGAAATATATGATTATTTGGCAAGAAAACAACAACAACAAAAAATTGAGTTTGTCTTTGTTTTGCAGTACAAAATCCCAGAAGAGAAAAAGGATCCTCCTGTAATTGTAAGTATTCTTATCCCAACAAATTTGTACTTTTGCCCTGTTTATCATGTAAACACTGTAATATAGAATATAGATGTCCCTGGAACTCTAGCTTTTTCATCAACATAAGAAATTAGGAGTATATTTTCCCATGGCAGCATCATGTGTAAGCTTCGAGATCTTCAAAACGAGTGAAACCCTTGCAAATGGGCAGTTCTCGGCCTTGCAAGCATCCTCAACTGTCTCCAGGCTTTGCATTAAGCACCACAAGGCCTGGCAATCCATACTTGGTGTTGGATTGTCTCAAAGGCATCAATTCCATTTGACAAGAAGAGACTCTATTTGGAGAAGTCTTTGCATGATTTGCTTCTCCAGTTTCAGCTTTCTGTCCTGTTTTATATTTTTTAGGATATGTACGTGACAAAGAAAACAAGATATCCTTAACAGAATAAATTTAAGCACCAACAAATTCCGAAAAACATCTTTAAATTCCAAAACAGTCAATGGTAGGATGAACTAATGGGTACCAGGGTTTGAAATTTGGGGGAAAGATAATCTAACCCTTTACCTGCAAAGTCATAAAAATAAGTTGCATTTACAGAATCTGTATCAGGAAATTATAACTCAAATTTTATTAATAGTTGCCGATGGAGTGAAATACAGCTTCTAACTCTGATCGCAGGTAACTGAAAACAAATACGAATTCAAAAGTTACAACGCAGAGAAAAAAAGCATTCTGAAAATCAGAGCACGTGGAAAAAGAAGATGTTCTGTAAACAGAAAGTGGGGGGAATGGAGCAACCCTATAGAGTTCGGTAAGACTGAAATATTCTTGTAATCTAGGATGGGTTTGGGGATTTTTTCTGTATTAATGTGTTTGCAAACTCTTCTCTCTCACACTCATGGATAAGAATAAAACCTTAATTCTCATTCAGTCACATGGAAAGAGCAGGATAGAAATTATTAATGTAGATGAAGTGCTCAAATCCTATGGCAACAGATGCTGGAAGTCCATGAGTAACTGTGCTTGTGATGGCAGCTGTGACTGAGACAGCAGGAGCACAGAAAGCAGCTAAGGTGTACCCAAACTGTTTTCCGTCAGAAGTTCTGAAAGTCCCCTTAAATCTTCAAATTCATAGAATCACAGAATGGTCTGAGTTGAAAAGAACCACAATGATCATCTAGTTTCAACCCCATGCTATGTGCAGGGTCAGCAACCACCAGACCAGGCTGCCCAGAGCCACATCCAGCCTGGTTTAGAATGCCTCCAGGGGTAAAGCATCCACAGCCTCCTTGGGCAACCTGTTCAGTGCTTCAGTGCACGCTCAAATTCCTCTTCTTCCTTCTGAATCTTCCTATTCCCTGCTTCTTTGATGTTCCTTTAACAGTCCCACCTCTATCCCGACTTTTCATTCTGGTTCTCCTCACAGTCGGGATTTTTTATTTTTCTCTGCACTTTAAACATTCAGAATGTTCCAAGGTACATTTAATGCACCTGAGCTTTTGAACAAAGATCTGTAAGATACCAAGTGGAAATCCTTTGGATGCCTCAAGAAGTTCAGGTGTAATCGGAGCTAACACTTTCTGGCAGACCACTGACATTTCTCTCTGATATGTTTCAGGTGAAGAGAAAGATTATTTTATTTATGTGATTTTAGTTCTGATAGCACTCGGAACAATCCTAGTGACGCTGCTCCATTACTGCCTTTGCAAGAGGTAAACCAACCTTCTTAACATAGGAATTCTGATGAAACATCCCTCCTACCTGCACAACCTTGAAGAATCTCATCAATCTATCTGATCGATGTAATTCAAGATTACCAGCAGTATGGTTTTGGATGGCAGTATGGCACACTATGGGGGGACAAATTGTTAGACTTAGTGAATCGTTCCACCAGATCCTAAAGGAAGACATTTTTTGTCTTTATTTCAAAGCATTTCACATTATTTTAAAATCACTGACTTCACACAGCACCAGACAACAGGGAATTGATACAGATGAATGCATCCTTACTTTGATCAAACTTCTTTAGTGGTAGAGGATATCTGTGTCAAGTGGGTTATTTTAAGTCTTGTTTAATAAATCATTTACTGTAGCTTCAGTCACAAAGTAAGCTGAGTTACCCAATGGAGCAGTGTAAAAACAGTTAATCCTCAGTCAACGTTCAAAGCCTTTTCCTTCTTCTCACTTAGCGATCTATTAGGCAATAAATCGCACTCTTAAGGTTCAACACAAAATTTACTGTTGTGCCACTAGCATTTTATTTACCATCCCATTTTCTATCCAAAGGTATTGCAGTTCAAAAAGAATATTTCCTCCTATCCCACAACCAAGAGGCAAATTTGATATACCAGCTGAGGAAGATATCCAGGTATGTACATCTGTTCAATCATATGGACTAACTGCAACCTACCATAAGCTGCAGGCATGAAGAAATGCTGTGTAAATACGAGACCCATATCAGGTCCATTAAAAACTGATTTGGCCCTTTGCAAAGTTTGTGTCCTACGTGACTGCTGAGTATAGCAGTTATCTTCTGTGTATTCACAACCATATTTTACAGTTAAAAATGATTGAGACTGGTAATTTTTGGAGAAGAGAATGCTCTGGGGGGACCTCATTGTGGCTTTCCAGTACTTGAAAGGAGACAATGAACAGGAAAGAGAATGACTACTTGGGTGGATAGCGATAGGACAAGGGGAAATGCCTTTAAACTGAGACAGGGGAGGTTTAGGTTAGGCGTTAGGAGGAGGTTTTTCACAGAGATTAATGACACACTGGAACAGGTTGCCCAAGGAGGCTGTGGATGCCCCATCCCTGGAGGCATTCAATGCCAGGCTGGATGTGGCTCTGGGCAGCCTGGTCTGGTGGTTGGCGACCCTGCACATAGCAGGGGGTTGAAACCAGATGATCACTGTGGTCCTTTTCAACCCAGGCCATTCTGTGATTCTATGATTCTATGATGCACAAAGCAGGTGGATGTGGTTCTTGAACTGTTGCATGGGCACAGTTGCAGGCAGCAGCTGCCAGAGTTCAAGAGAAGTTCAATTTCACAAACACCAAGGCTGTGAAGATCATTTTCAGGTCTCTTACCTGTCTGACTCTCCTTTGTCTGATTTAGTCTTAAAAATGAATTTTACCTCCTTTCTCAGACACAATTTATACTTGACTACTGTAATTCTTCAAAATGGATCAAGTTCGAATGTGTTATCCAAGGAGTTTCTTCACTGAATAACAGGGCTATCTCTTCCTACTACTTAAATCCAGCACATTTATGAACTATTTTGAACTATACACATCCCTTCGCTGATTCTGCTTTCTGAAGCTTACATTTCATCATCTTGTCCCCACTTGCTCTCACAACCTTTCACATTTACTGTTTGTCCCGTTTCTCAAGAACTTATTCCTGATCGCTGAAAGATCTCATGATTTATAACCCTAACTGCACTGTACTGTGTTCACAGTTGCTTCTTTAAAGCTTATGTTAAAAGTACCACCTGCTTTTCTTTTCAGATTTGGGTCAGATCCTACCAACCAACTCAGTTCATTAGATAATTTGTATTCCTACAAGCATCCCACTTTATTTCAGTGTTCTTCCTTTAATTTTTGGTCATCTTGCCCATCCCTTTCTTTGCAAACATTTCTTACGTATGAAAATAGCAAGACCAGGGTGCCTTCGGAACTGTGTATGTAATATTTTTTAATGCTTTCTGTGAACACCAATTAACCTGTAGTTTATCGTATGTTAAAGGCTATTCTTTCTCCCCTCTTCTCAGACAGAGAATGTGCTTCTATCTCAAATAAGTTGTACTGAGGAAATAACTGTGATTGAGGAGATGACCTAATCTTCCAGAAAGAAAACAGATTTGGATGCAACACAAAAATTACACAACCTCCTAATAATTTCCAATTATTTACGGTGTTCTTCACAGCATGGACTAGAAATTAGTATCACCTATGAAACCAGTTCCCCACACTAAAAACAAAACAAAACAAAACAAAACCCACAAAAATGTTTCTTTTTCCTTCGTTCAGAAGCAATGCCTGGCAACCAAGCTCCTCCAAAAACACGCGCTATGAAGATTTGCTTAAAAGTTGCTGAGGTTCTCTTCACCATCTAAGACAAAGCCTTTCATCAACAACATAGCAGAAATGTGGTATAATTTCTTCCGTTCATTGCTGGAGCAATTATTTCCTGAATTAAGAGTAGTGCTACAGGAAATCAAAATGCTATTTCCCCAACTTAACATTTTATATATATACTCCCAAGAATTTTCTGGAGCAGAAAGTAGCTAAAAATTGCCCTTCTACCTTGTAACCCTGATACCAAACTCTTAAAATATTCAGTGAACTTTATGGCAAAATAAAATAAAATAAAATAAAATAAAATCTTGCTAAAAATAACTAAGATGGGCTGCCAGTCAGTCGTGTAATGAGCTCAGCATCTCCAACAGCAATGTGAATCTCTGCAATACCAATAAGAACTTCAGTGGCACAGCTAAAGACTTCAATAAATCCAGCGTAACAATCACAAGATTTGGAATCAAATCTGTAAAACTAGGTTTTAAGTAGTTCATCACACCAGTCTACATCCTTCCAATTGTGCAGATCTTGTTTCCAGATCTATTGAAAATACAGTATTTTCTGTTAAACAAATTCAAAATCTTTTCCTGCTGAAAGTATTTTCCAAAAGATCCACATTTCACCAGTTAAGTGCTTCAATAAGGCAGAAAACAAATGCTTTTTTTAAAAGTCTCATTTATTGTTTGCCTCTTATGTTCCCACACTGCATAATCACATTGCAAAATGCTGCTGGATGACTAAGGGAAGCAACATACTAGAAAAATAAACACCAAGCAGTACATGCTGTAATGCACAGCAGAGGTAAGTTGCATTTCCACTTAAATAACGACCCACGCTTGCATTGATTTATTTGCTTGCTTCTCCTGATTAACACCTAATTTTGTTGGAGGAGGGGCGGTGGACAAAAAAAGAAATCTGCCCTTTTCAAGGGCTGCTAGTTAATTGTCATGCTTTCTTCTTCCTCACAAAGTTCAGCCACCATGCACTCACAGTAAGGTTATGTGAGGGACTCTATCGTTATATACCTACCTTTTAAGCCACTGATGTAGAAAATAAACCTGTGAAATATATCTATATAGGCAGATTCTTCCTCTGTCCCTTCAGATCAATAGAATTACAACTGAAACAGCAGCTTAATTGGAAAGTTCAGCATCAAGTGACCTGTCCACACCACGAGAGAGCTACCATTACCAAACAGGGTTAAAAACAAACAAACAAAAAAAACCACTTGCAGTAGGTACATAAAATTTGCCATTAGCCTGTGTACAAAGTAGCTGTGTAATGTACTTACATTCACAGGAAGATGCTAAAAGCAGTGCTTGTGCCATGGAACATCACATTGGTACAAATTACCAGCGAAAGCCATGTTGCAAATTTAAATATCTCATCTTGAATAGCAACCTCAGAAGGCACACAAAAAAACCTGATAGCTCAGTCAGCCTTCAGTGACTCGTTACAATGACATTTTCACAAATACAGGGCGAGTTGTAAGAATGTACTGAAAGATGAACACCTTGTTCTCATTTACTGGTCCCCCATTACATCTTTGCAGATTACAAAGTACAAAAGATTATGTACATATAAAGAGCACAGATTTAGTTTCTCATTTCTGCTTTTTGAGATGTTTTTAGTCTTCAAGCGACCCTTAAAATTAGACATTCAGTCAATATTGAAGGCTGACTTACTTTTACCTTTATTTTACAGCCACACAGAACCACGCATATTCCCTGTTACATACCCATATCGACTTCACTTTTCAGAATGAATTTCAGATTAAATTCTTCTTTTCAAAGTTACTTCTAGCCACTTCTAGAGATAAAAGCTTAAGTGGCGTAATCAACACTTCCAAATAGCAGCAACAATACTCATTCAAAGGTTAAAAGCATTTAACCAGGTTCCTGGTTTTTTGCATGAACATCATGTGTTGCTTCCTATATTGATTTAAAAAAATAGATTCCACTTTAAGACTTTTGCCAGGAGCAAAAAGCATTCATTACTTTTTGATTGCGCTTGGAACTTTGGGTAATTGTAGTACTACAACAGAAAAACCCTCATTTTACATCATATGCAAAGCTGCAAATCAATTTCTAACAATCATGCTGAAAGCCACTTGCAGCAGCCCATCATACACTATTAGGCACAAAGAAGGGGAGTGGTTTCTATGAGTACAACCCATGCTTTTTTCCCCTCAAAGTTCTCACATTCAGGTTTTCCTAAAACAAAAATCAAACATCCTGTTACAGTGCAGTGTAAGTGTATCAGAGGAACCATTATCTGAAACAAGTTTTCAAAGAAACGACGCTTTCCCAAAGCTTTGATGTAATAATTTCAACACAGACATAATAAGTATGTTTATTGTTCTACAGCAGAATGCCCCAATTTAAGAACATAATTGCTAGATGTTCAGCTGTGCAAAATGGTACATAGTGCTTCAGTACAAGTGGAAAAGAACATGATTTGTTAGCAAGTATTTTCAAATACAATTTTATGGTCCTAAAAGATAGGACTTGAAACTGAGGACTGATCCACAGGCATACTTTTCTTTCTGCCTAAATTGTACCCAGCTACTTTGGACCCAGAACCACTGTCACTGATTTTTCATCACTGATAAAATCATCACACTGAACTGCCAGATTCAGTGTCTTCATGCAGGTTACCGTGAAATGGATCAGTCCTCTATGTCAGTTTCCAGCCCTATCTACAAGTATCAGCTGGCTCCGATAAATAAAACTCACAGGAATTTCTTGAAGGTCAATGGTCCATAATGGTAGTTATTCTACATGATCTGCTCAACTTGATTTCCAATTTTAGTTAGGCTGTTTAAATGACTTTCTTGAATTCATCGTACAGCACGAGCACGAAAGCACCCCCCATGCCTCTGAGAACATTAGACCATGCACCCTTGAAGAACGCCTTTCCTCCCTCATCCCTTGCAATCTTCCGCCAGCAGTCAATCGTTCCAGAGTACATGATATCAGCTGTAGAGAAAGAGCAAAGAGGGGTTTTTTTAACTTCTGTATTTCGGGTGACTCTAAAAATTGCTGTTCTGCTTCCCCCAGTATGCCCCATATCTCGCTTTAACACACTACCAGTTCAGGCAACAGAAAAAATCTTCCTGCTTGCTTACCTAATTATTAAAAGTTATGTCGTAAAATAAGAGTGTTAATTGCTCTTATGACAATTACACTGTCAACTACTTGCTTACACTTAGTTTGTCAACACAAACAACCAATCCATTTACCCAATTTATTAAAGAACAAACAAACAAACGAACAACCTCATCATAATTCTTCACAAACACAAGTCAGAAGCCTTATACTACTTGACTTGCCTCCTACTACTAGAACATACGAACAGTTGAATCAGATTTACATGGTAAGAAATCATAAGCACTAAGGGATCACCATTAGCAGCACTTAAATATTGATATGGTAACAGCCTACCTCCTTTGCGTCCTGACTGCATCATCATCCTACGCCGCACTGTGTCAAAAGGATAGGAAACCACACCAGCCACAGCAGTCACTGTCTGTGCAATCATCCAGCTGATAACAATGTGAGTGTTTCTGGGATCTGGCAGCATGCCTGCAAAAAAGAAGCTCATTAGCTTTTTAGCTTGCAAATGCTCCTTCGGTTTACAGCACAACAGCTACTTTACCACAAAAAACTACCATGAAGCACTGTAAAGCAATGCTTTAAGCTGCAACAAGACACTTAAAACACATTAAGCATACTGAAGCAACAGAGAAATAAATAAGGAAACACACAGCATTTCCTTGTCAGTAATCAAAATGCATAACATTTAGGTACCAAGATCCTTTCAGACAAGTGTTCTAATTATTCTCTACTTATCTATATAAGTAAACATCATCAAATACATCAGTACCTATAGTTCAGAGATCAATTAACTCTACATCCAGAAGCCAAGCTTAACAAACAAATGCTTTACAGAACAGCTCAAATTCTGCTAAATACATCTGAATTGTTCTAACAGAACTACAAATACTCAGCAAGAAATCACAAACTTTGAGTACTTGCATACTGTTACCAAAACACATTACTTCCATTAGGAAAAAGTGCTGTGTTCTAAAGGCAAGCGTAACAGGAAAATTCTAAAGCAGCCTGATCCATAAATGCATGCTGAAGCTTTGCCTTTGAAGTGTTGCTCTCTGTGCAATGTCACCCCTCTTCCACCACACTTACATAAATATATAAGTCAAAAACGGAAAACAACGCAGAAAAACCGGCAGAAGCAGGCAACACAGTTCTACAAACAAGTTTATCAATACCCTCCTGAAACTGTACCTTTTGCTGTATCATAGATTCCAAAGTAGGCAGCTCTATAGATGATGATGCCCTGGACAGAGACATTGAACCCTTGATACAAGCCACGCAGACCATCAGACTTGGTAATTTTGACTAAACAGTCCCCGAGACCAGAGAATTCTCTGTCTGCACCAGCTTTGCCGACATCAGCTGCCAAACGGGTTCTTGCAAAATCCAAGGGGTAGACAAAGCAGAGGGAAGTGGCTCCAGCCGCACCACCAGAAGCCAAGTTGCCAGCAAAATATCTCCAGAACTGAGTGTGCTTGTCTACTCCTCCTAGGAACACCTGCTTATACTTATCCTTGAAGGCAAAGTTGAGAGCTTGGGTCGGGAAGTATCTGATGACATTTGCCAAATTTCCTCGCCAGAAGGACAGCACTCCTTGTTCCTTTGGGATGCGCACTACACAATCGATGATACCCTTGTACTGCTTATCAGCAGCAATTTGCTTACTTGCATGTTGCACCTGTGAATAAAAACATGCATTTCATAGAATCACAGAATAGCTCATGTTGGAAATGATCCTAAAGACCCTCTGGCTCCAACCCCTCAGCAATGGGCAGCACTGCTCTCCAATATGCTTTTGGCTCTATGCTTCAGCCAGCCCTCACTGCAACTGGGCCTGAGTCTGCTCTCAGCATTACGCAGAGAGCTGGTGGCCTGACGGCCTACAGAGATAAGGCCATCACAGCAGTAAGCCTGCTGTAATAGAAAAAACTCAATGCTCTGGGTCACTCTGAGCCTTAAGACTACAACTTGTTGTTTGTTTGTAATTTGGTATAGACAAAACGTTGAACAAACTCAGAAATTAAAACCTCATCTTACACACAGACAAAAGGGGTTGCATACAGAGCCTCCAGATAAGATTGAACTGCACACAGAAGATCATCTAGCCCAAAACAACCCTAAGAACTAGCGAAGCTCTGCATAACCCTAAGAACCAGCGAAAAGTCCAAAACGCCTCTCCAGCTCTCCCGCAGCTCAGGACCAGGCCCGTTACGAAGGTCACCTTGGGGCGCGGGGTCAGCCCGGGCCGCTCTCGCAGGCCCCGCCCTGCCGCCGGCTCCACGTGAAGGTCACCAAGATGGCGGCGCGCATGCGTGCTCCCGTCCCGCGCGAGGAAGTGACACCGAGAACCGCCCCCCCGGCCGCGCCCCGCCCCCGCCGCGCCCCGCATAGCGGAACCGGCTTCCCCGCCGCGCCGCGCGCCCCCCGCCCACGTGACCTCACTAACCGCCCCCTCGCGCGCGCGGCCTTTGTTCCGCGCGCGCGGCTGCCGCCCGCTGTCCCCTCAACTCGTACCCTCCGCGTCTCCTCAGGCCCTCAGGGCGGCCGCCGGCGAAGGTCACGGCCGCCCTTTCTCCTCCCGGGCCCGGCCACGCCGCTCACCTGCAGCAGGAGCTTAACCCGCTCGATGGGCGCTACCGCCGTCTTGCTGATGGCGGCGGCGACGCCGCCGGCCAGGAAGTCCTTGAGGAAGGAGATGGCCTGGTCCGCCATGTTCACTCCGCAACCGCCAGAGAAGAAACGCCGCCACTGCTCGGGCAGAAAGGGCGGGCCCGCCGCCGCGCAACAGCTAAATGCCGGGCCCCGCCGGCCCCACCTCCCAGCTCCTGATTGGTCGCGCCACCTCGGGGGCGGGGCCTCGGCTGCGGGTGGGCGGGGCCGAGTTGCGTCGGGGCGGTGGTTGCGGTCGTTGCCGTGCCCCTCCGGCGCCAGTGTTACGGCGCCGCGTCGCAGCGCCCGTGTCGCGCGGCAGCCTCGGCCGGAAGGCGCCGTCGGAGTCTTTGTGAAGGGCGAGAGGCCGCGCCTCCTCCCGGCCCGGGGAGCGGCACCGTGCCGTACTCGGGAGACCGCTGCGGGACGCCATTGGCGTCAAAGAGCTTAAGCCTTGGCTTCTGGCAGGGAGAATGGGAACGTGCAGTCCTCCGCTCAGTGCTCGACCTCCGGTGATGTGCGAAGCCCTTCCGCAGGCTGACAGCTGTCAGCGTGGCTTCGGCCCTACGGACGCACCGTCCGTCGGCAATTTCTGGCAGTGTTACGTGTGCTGAAAGCAAAATTGTACATTTCATAGCTGAACTAGTGTCTGAAATTGTGCTAGCTGCCGGGCATGAGTTCCCTTGCGTCTCTTGTAATTGCTTTCACTTTTAATGGATGCTTCCTGCAAACGTAAATAAAGTCAGGCTTTCTTCTAAACAGATGACTACTCAATTACTAAACCACAGAGAGCAGCAATGCATGTGTCCAAAACCAGCTCACACGCACACATTTTGTGCAGGAGGTCAAAAAGAGCAACTCAGGCCAGGTGTTGTGAGAACAGAACGTGCCTGGCATACTTCCACTTCATGGACTGTCACGTGTCATTGCACATTTTATTGCATGTAGAAAGATGAAATAATTGTACGCTGCTTTATATCCTGATCCAGGATAGGGACGTAGTGAAAAGACTCCCCTGCTGACTGTCAGAAGGTCACACACAAGCTGTGTGACAGGACCGCAGTCTGGATATGCGTAATGAAAGGCCATGGCGCGTGTTCTCATGCACACGTGGCTTAAAAAGCTGTTCTTCTTTGAAGGAAAAAAAGCCTCATAAGTAAATATTAATTCTCTCATAGCGCAATACCTTGTGTGTAATTCTCTAGGCTGGCACTTTTTTCTCTACGAAGTTTTCTATTGATTAATAGAGAACTTTGTGCTTTAGGTGGTGTTGGTTTGCAAAATGAAAGTAAAATGCATCTGATACGTAACCATTCAGTCAGTAGTTGTCCTATGCTGTTCTGTTCACCTTGGGACCTCAGATGCATCTGGGGCAGATCTCATTTTTTCTTTAGCACCATTCATTTCCCCCTGTCTCTGTACTGCTTTGTTGTTGTTTTTTCTGTTCTTTATCTAATGTCATATTCTATCCACTTTTTTTTTAAGAGCTCACAAATTAAGTAGGGCTAAAATGAAGGAGGGTGTTCTTAAACTAAACAAAGCACCCCCATACCTCACATCCAACCTCCAATTACAGATTAAAAGACCCCCCCCCCCCAAAAAAAAAAAACCCAAACAAACAAACAAAAAAAAAAGAGGTGAAAATTTTATGTAAACACCTTTCCCAGAAACCCCACAGAATGCTGAGGAGTCTTTTCTAATGCTCCTGAGAAGCTTCTGCTTTAGTTCTTCCAAGCTTGACTTCACCATCACGACAGTGCTGTTTCCTGACTTTGTTACATAGTTAATGCTTACCTGCTAACAAGGTGCATGCCTAATGAGTTCTATAAAATAGCAGTGAGATAAGCAGCAGTCACATGCATCCCAGGTAACATCAAACACCTTTACTTATCTGTGACTTACAGCATTACATGAATCATCTGGTGCAGAAGCTTCTGATTGTTTGGTTATGTAGCAACTGACAAGACTAGAGCAAGATCCCAACTCCTAGCACAAATGTTTTGAGTGAATTCCAAATATCCTTGTCCATTATGCCTACAAATTATCAGTACATAATCCATGGTCCCCAAATGCAAAAAGCCAAGGGAAGTCACTGAAAGCAAGAGGGCTTCTTTGTCCCCTTTAGCAAAGATACGCAAGCAAGTGAAAACAGAGGAAGACTGGTTTCTGCTTTAGTGCAGCATTCTTCTGGTCATTCTGAATACTCCTCAGCACAATTAGATATGATGTATTCTTGCAGAGGGTTTTTTTTTGTTTGTTTGTTTGTTTTCCACTCAGATTTTGAAATTGTCTTTTAAGTTATCTCATTGATTGAAAATGTTTTTTAATTAGAAAGTAGTTCTCCTTGATCTTTTATTAATGGCAAGCTTTACTGATTTGCTCTCACAGGTAGAAGACTGTGCCACAACAGGCAAGTTTAGGAGTGGGAAGAGAGGGTAACCCACTAGTGATAAATTCAGTTTCACCAAGGCAATTTTAAGTTCTATCACAGATTTCCACATACAATGAATGATGAAACATTTGTATATTAATGTATACTTGGTATCATGTCCCTTCCAACACATCTTTGTAAATGAATGTAGCCAGAAGAACTGTATATTTCTTTCCTTAGGCAAATTATTTCCATAGCCCCCAACATGATGCAAGTAGCTCAGCGGAGAAAACATGAGCCTGTAGCTAACAACTACAGCAATTTGACCATTCTGATTGAGTTACTAAGAAGACAGGCCCTACAGTCAAGGAGCACTGTAATCAAGGAGAAAGGACAAGAGAAGGCAGTCTGGGAAATAGTTCTGGATGTGTAAAAGGGCAGAAGAGTTATGGTAGGGATGGGTGGCAGCTCTAGCATCTCAAGCTAAACTTTGTCTCTATATATGCAATAAGCCCAGCTGTTTGAAATCCTGCTGTGCCCTGATAGTTTCTAACTGTATAAGTAGCAGAGACAGCTGTGGAACAACGAGGAAAAGAGGTGAGCAAAAAGGGAGAAACTACTCCAGACTGTATTTGGAACATTTCCTTTTAGTCAAACAGTAGGCTGTGAAATAGGAGACAGTGAATAGCAGAAGATATATACTGAAAAAAAAAAAAAAAAAAAAATGCAAAGTATATGAAGAATACAAAAGAAGGGAAGCAAAATGCAAAGCTATAGGCAAGGTAGAAAAAGGCAATGGCTTTTTTCTTTTTTTTTTGTTTTTTTGTTTTTTTTTTATATACAGTAGAAATTGTAAAATAAAGATGGTATTAAAAAGGCTGTGATTGGAGTATTGAAACTGTACCTACACCTGCATTAACCTTATGAAACAGGGACGAAGTGATGAGTGCTCATCTAAAAGTTGGACTCAATTTGCATCCACTATGGAAAAACTGATTTCTCAGCAATGTCAATGTGTGGAGCTGCTAACAGCACATTTCTGATTTGTATTGTGTTGTGTGACTACAATTTCATTGCCATCAAATCATGCCAGAAGAACTGTTATTTTGAACATTGAAAGCTTCTCAAGTTCAAAATAAATGCAATCAATTGCTTCCCCTTTTTAAATGCAACTTCAAAAAACAAAACATTTATTGTTTACATTATTGGGAAACAGAATACATTTGTATAATTACAAAACATCAAATATAATCCAGATTCTATGACTAAATATTTTTTTCCTATACCTTAATGCAGAGAACAACATCTAACAAGTTTCCTGTCAGTTTGATTTTGACTTTAGAGAATCCATGCTGTTCCAGTAAGCCTCGATATTCAGAGCCACTTCTTTCCTTTCCCTCTGTCTGCACAAGCATGTTCAAAGACTGAAGCAAAGCTGTGCTCCTGTTCTTCTTCTCATCATCCAATACCATTTCAGCCAGCAAAATGCCACAGCCTAATTCAAAAACAAACGCATACAACAGTACTAACCCACTATCAACCAGACAATTTCTGCTAAATTACACCAAGGGGACAAACAGTGGATGGCAAGCATTACAGAAGCCACAAAGCAGCCAGGTTTTTTGTTTGTTTGTTTTTATATATTTCTGGTGGGAGCGATCAAGGGTTGAGGGCAGAACTCGAATAATTTGTTCACACACATCTTCTTCTTCCATCTTCGGACCCATGAATGGGACAGGGAAGACATGAATGAGGGCTCTGCTGACAAAACATGCGCTATTTTACTTACTTGTCTCTGAGACTAGCATTTTATGTGGTAGTAGTTTCTCTTTGCACAGTAGAGGTAAGGACCACCAACTCAGATCAAAATGGCTGCAGTGATCTTACTATTAAGTGCTGCACAAGATTAGCGTTTTGTACTGACCCTGAAGACAGCCCCTTTGTCATTCCAACCAGTACATCTCAGACATTTAGCAAACAATGAAGAACACAATTAAACATAACCACACCTCAACGCAGGTAGTGAGCATCACAATACAAGGACATAAAACTATCAGAAGGCATCCAAAGGAGGGCTACAAAGACAGTAAGGGATGTGGAGGGCAAGGCATTAGAGGGAAAGCTGAGGCCCCTCGTTGTGCTCAGCACAGAGCAGAGGAGCTGAGGGGAGGCCTGATGGCAGCTGTAGCTCCTCATAGGGAGCGGAGGGGCAGCGCTGAGCTCTGCTCTGTGTGACAGCGACAGGGCCCGAGGGAACGGCATGGAGCTGTCAGGGGAGGGCAGCTGGGGGTCAGGGAAAGGGGCTGCACCACAGGGCAGGGGAACGGGATGCACAGGGCTGTGGGCACTGCCCCAGTGCTGGAGCTCAGGGAGTGTCTGGACACCACTCTCAAACACAGGGATTGAATACTGGGTGGTCCTGTGCATAGCCAGAAGTTGGACTTGAAGAGCTTCATAGCTCACTTCCAACTCAGAATATTCAGTGATTCTACAACAAGACTGCAGCTTCTTAGAGAAAAGATTAAGACTTGAGGATAATATTGCTAGCTGAGACCTCTGTGTTACTATCAGGTGTCATAAAAGTCCTTCTGAAAGCTTATTAATAAATACCCTGCTTCATCACCATATCATTATTAACCTCAGTAAATGCAACCTCAAGCCATGTATCCTGTGATGAACAGGTGCTACACAAAGAAAAAGGATTTGCCAGGTATATCTGAGGTGAACCTGAACCTACATTCTCTCTCACCCATATG